GCCAGATTTACTGAACAACCATGTTCCTAACTTAATGATGATGGCAGTAATTCATTTAACACTGAAGGCAAGATCAGGCGTAAAATGGGGCAAAACTCAACTGTCCCAAAGGTATTTTTTTCAAGAGACAACTGGACTTTCTTGTTTTTCTTTGAAGATGTTTCATTTCTCATCCAAGAAGAGAGTCCAGTTGCCTCTTGAAAAAGCACATTTGGGACAACCATGACCTAAATGACTGAGAATCTCCATAGACATTCACATAACAACTGTCTTGCTTAGCACTGGAAATTTGGGGATTAATTGTAATTATAAGTTGAGGACTCCTGTAACTCCAAAATTATTTGCATTCTTGTCCCTAATTAATGCAGCCAGCTTTGCCATAACTGCCAGTTCCATCAACTTTTCAATCCATTCCTCCAATATGGGAATTAATGCTTCTTTCCATGTCCAGGCATATAGAATTCTTACAGCTATCAACATATATAGCAATGCAGTTCAATTTTTTCTCCCATTTTTTAATCTACTAGTCCTAGAAGAAAACTGTTCCCAATATTTCTTTGCCTTGTCACATGTCCACCACATGTAATTAAAAATTGCCCTCCTTATGCTTGCATTGCAACAAACATTCAAAACACCTTTTATACATCTTTGATAATTTATCTGGAGTTAAATATGACCAGTATATCATTTTATAGAAATTCGCCTTAAACTTATAATTCAATGTGAATTTCATCCTTTAGTCCACATATTTTTCCATTGCTCTAACATTATATTAAAACCAAAGTTCCTATATTTTCTCTATTATATTCTCATGTCTCAGCAGGTGATGACACCTGGTTGACCTTATTCAGATTCAGAAGGACTGGGAGGTTGAAAAATGTACATTATATATGTATCACCACTGAATGTACAAATGAGTGACTGACAGGAAAGAAGGATGTTAAGGTGTTTGGCCATAGGGAGAAAATGAGTGAAGATCAAATTGCGAAACAAATATAGGAAGGAAGAGTGAATAGTAAGAGGAAAAGGGAGACTGGGGCAATCATAGTTGGGAAGAGATCCTAAAAAA